AAAAATCTAGTACTGTAGAAAATAGTCGAACAATGGGTCGGAATTCGAAAAGGAAGATCACCGAAGTTCGGGTTAACTGATAAATGTGTTTTTTTTTGAAGAATAAACTAGCCATATCAACAAAACGGTTACTGTAGCTAATAACAGTTAAATGACAAGGAGAAATACTGAAAGAAAATTTAAAAAATTGGTCTTCTGGAAACAATAAATATTCAATTTTGGTTTTTCGTAGGCTATTTTCGCTTATCAGCTCTCCCTCCACATCTCTTTCCCTTCACTTCTCTCGTCTCCTCCTTTCTCTCGCATTTTCATACGTCATGCGAAGCCCACTTCTTTGTCGCCTCATTGGCTCAGTGGCAGAGCGTCTGTCTAGTAAACAGAAGGTCGCTGGTTCGATTCCAGCATGAGGCACCGATCTTTTTCTTTTTTTTATTTTATTTTGAAAAAAGTTATTTTAGAAAATGCCTTTTTTTGCATTAGTACCCATTTATATGTAGGAAGTAGGTAGTAGGTAAACAAATATCAATGTTTTTCAATTTTGAAAAAAGGAGGGAATTTAAAAAGTCAGAAAACAAAGTGTTTCTTTAGGGAAAATGTGATTCTTGATCTAACACTGTGGTAATATTGCACAACGATGTGTTGACCGCGTCTGCGTCTCTTCACTATTCATTCTCCCTCCCTGTTGACTTCCTCCAACCCAATGAAATAGTGTGTAGGATGATCAGGGAAACCTTAAAGTAATTCTATCTCCACTCAAGTATAAATAAGACAGATTCGTGTGTAGTTAACTCATCAAAAGTTATGATGAACAGTTTATCAATCGATAACTTTTTCATATCTATGACAGTAACCGAGTTAAGTTGGGTCAAACTTAATGTATCAAAAAATCAACTTTCAAGAAACACTTATCAGAACTGTTCGCCATACATCAGAGTCATATTTCCAAGCAGAGTTTATTTAAAACAAAAACCGTGATAAATCATTTATCATAATATCACCAATATTTTATTGATTTGCAGATTTTCGATACCTTTCATATAAACCGAAATAATTGAGCTCAAACAGGGGTGATCTTCAATTAGAGCAAATATATACGTCTACCGTAACTTCCTTCGCAAGCCGTCAACTTTGACCCCATCTATCTCATTTTCTGTAAAAGATATCGAGAAGTGGTCAACTGACAAAATGTTTATCACAACGTTAAAAATATTTTTTCCGTTAGCTACTTTTTGATATCTTTTACGGGAACCGAGATAAACTGGGTCAAAGTGAGGGGCCCTTTTATTACAGGTTTCGCGGTACCTAATTTCTAATTTTTTAGGGATATCCAATTGGTAAATATGTGCATAGATCTATGGTTTGGCGGACTTGCAACTACAACAAACACTACCACCTGGGCAATCAGTTTTGTTCTTCAGAATTTAGAAGTTCAGGATAAGATTCATCAGGAATTGGATAGAATCATTGGAAGTGATCGACTGATAACAACTGCTGATAAGAATGACTTGCCGTATTTGAATGCATATATCAATGTGAGCTCTTTTTACAAGCTAAAAAATTCCTAAACTTTTTTCCAGGAATCACAGCGATTCACCAATCTAGTCCCATTGAACGTTCCACACGCGACCACTCGTGACACCGTTATCAATTGTTACAGTATCCCTAAAGGAACCGGAGTCGTTGCACTAATTAGTACTGTCATGAATGACGAATAGGTGTTCCCAGAGCACACAAAATTCAAGCCGGAGCGATTCCTAGATGAAAATGGAAAACTCAAAAAGGTCGAAGAGCTGATTCCATTCTCGATTGGAAAACGGCAATGTCTAGGAGAAGGACTTGCCAGAATGGAGCTATTTCTATTCATCTCCAATTTTTTCAATAGGTATCAGGTACCGTAATCAAAAGTTTTTGTAAAGAAAAAAAGAATAACTTTAAGATTTCACCTTCGAAAAATGGACTTCCATCTATGGACAAGAGCAGTATCTCCAGAATTGAGACTAGACTGTTTTCAGCCGTTTTGAAGCGAAGAAGATAATATTGATAATATATTTTTCGTAATAAAATCTTCGAATATCTGAAAATAAATACTCCAAACTCTTATTATTGTGTTATCACTCTTGTCCGCAATCAATGAACGTTGAAAGCTAGGTTACTGTTTAAAGGCGCATTTAGAAACGCATAAAGGAACTACAGTATTTTTGAGCCAATTTATCTCGGTTCCTGTTTAAGATATCAAAAAATAGTCAACTGATAAAGTGTTGGTGATTTTATGAGAAACGATTTATCAGTTGACAACTTTTTCATATCTATGACAGTAACCGAGTTAAGTTGGGTCAAACTTCAGGTATCACACAATCAACTTTCAAGAATCACTTATCAGAACTGTTCGCCATACATCAGAGTCACATTTCCAAGCAGAGTTTTCTTAAAACAAAGATCGTCGATAATTCGAACTAATACTCCATCTCATCACCATCAAAACACTTTAAGAGGCAGAAACTACGAAACACAGCCTCTCACTCTGCGTCTCAATTACCCCATACTCTCTAACTTCCTTCTACTGTTATCTACTGATCTGAAAAAGACTGTGGTCTGTGTCTCATTCTCGTGTCAGAAACCATGGAATACAATTCTCCTCATTATATAAAACACAAACATCCTCGTGTTTTCTATATTTTCAGTCTACAATGTTTGTGATTTTGTTCTTCACAGTGTTCGCTGTCTATTTGGGCTATGAATTGTATTGGAAGCGTCGGAATCTACCACCTGGTCCATGTCCATTGCCAGTTTTTGGGAATTTATTGTCTATTAATAGCCCACCACCTGGATACGCTGCATTTGAAGGATGGACCAAGAAGTATGGAGATGTGTATACATTTTGGATTGGTAAGTGTAACGAAAACACACAATACTCGGCAATTGCCGAAAAAAAATTTCGGCAATTTCGGCAACTTTCGGCAATTTTCGGCAACAAAATTTTTGCGTCTTTTTTTAGTAAAATGGATACGTAACTCACCTGAAAATGCTTCTATCAGGCTCAGAACTACGGAAAATGTGTTTCATAAGTTCCTTAAAAAAGTAATTACAAAAATTGGCAACTCAAGACAACATTTTTTATACAAACTATTTCTCTTTAGCAATAGAGGGTATTCCAATGGTTGAAAATATTTGTTCCGATTGTGAGTTTTGAAAATAGTGCGCTCAACTTGTTAGGCAACTCACGACACACGTTCCCTAGAGATTTGAGACAGATTGGATAATTTTTTTTGATGAGTTGTGACTCATGATATCTATTTTTCTCCTATGCTCACAAATTTGAAGCCCATTTTTAGATCCGATGCAAGTATTTTTGATGATTATTGGGACACATTTCCTCTAAAATTCACTCTGAGGGATGATGGTATATTCAAAATTTGATTTTTCGAACTTCGAAATCATTTTTTTGACTAAAAAATTGTGAAAATCTCTAAATTCAAAAAAATTCCAGTAGCCGATATTGCCGAAATTTTTTTTGCCGAAATCGGCAACGGCAATTCGGCAACTTTTTCTTCGTTGCCGATTTCGGCAACGGCAAATCGGCAACAAAAATTCGGCAATCGGCAATTTGTTGCCGCACAGGCCTGACACACACAGATAATTTGGTGATTGTTATTAGTAAATTTTGCAGGAAGCAAACCCCATATCATGATCAACACATACGACAAAGTGAAAGAAACGTTCATTCGAGACGCCGACACCTACACCAACAAAGTTCGACTCCCAGCACTCGACCTATTCCGTGGTGGAGATCATGGAGTCATTGACTCGAATGGTGTCAAATGGAGGGACCATCGTAGGTTCGCGCTAACTAGTTTAAGAGATTTCGGGTTGGGAAAGAACCTGATGCAAGAAAAAATCCTACTTGAAGTTCAAGATGTCTTTGCCAAATTTGACGCTACTGAAGGGAAAGAAACGGAAATTCCACCAACTTTTGATAACGCTATTGCGAATGTCATCAATCAACTTTTATTTGGGTATCGCTTTGATGAGGTACTCCAAACATCCCAGGGTATCAAAATCTATTTTCTTTAGACCAAACAAGACGAGTTCCAAGAGCTCAAACAAATCATCGATGCTCCTCCAGAACTGTTCGGAAAGCTTCACATGTTCTTGGCCATGAACATTCCGATCCTGGCAAAAATAATGCCCGAATCGTTGTACGAAGCTCCTTTCAAAGATTTTCGGGACTCTGCTTTTGCATTTTTCCGGGGGCAAGTAGAGAAGCACAGACAGCAGATAGATTTCGAAGATCTAGAATCTGAAAATTCGGATTATGTAGAGACATATCTGAAGGAGCAAAGGAAGAGACAAAATGAAGGAGACGAAGAGACGTTCAGGTGAGTCTGACTATGAATCTGATAGTGAGGGTTTCAAATATCGCCCTTCTTCATTTACGACATCGGTATCTAGCCGAGCTGGCAACCGCGTAGCTCACCCGCATTCACTCTAATAGGTCTCTATCTCGGTTGCTGTGAAAGATATCAGAAGGTGTCAACTGATAAAATGTTGCTAATATTATGATAAATTTTTTGCCTGTTGACCATGTTTTGATATCTCTTACAGGCAATGAGATATCTTGACTGTTTTGAGCCAGTTAATTAGAGTCTTCAAACGTCCCCCTGAAATTCGCGTTTGAGCTTAATTATCTCGGTTGCTGTGAAAGATATCAAAAGCGTTTCAACTGATAAAATGTTTATAACAATCTCATAAATATTTCATCAGTTGGTCACTTTTCTGGGCCTCTAACAGGAATCAAGATAAACTGGGTCAAAGTTAATGACCCCTAATGCTCCTGATAATTCCTCTTTAATTCTGAGCACTCTCAAAAAGAAACACTTTTTCAGCAATATCCAACTAGAGAACATGCTGATGGATTTGTGGTTCGCTGGTCTTGGCACTACTACAAACACCACTACATGGGCATTGAGTTACATTTTGCACTATCCAAAGGCGCAAATGAAGATCCATGAGGAGCTGGATAGAGTCGTAGCAAGCGATAGACTTATCACCACCGCTGATAAGAATGACTTACCGTATATGAACGCTTTTATTAATGTAAGTTTTGGTCCAAGTTACAGTATGCTTAAAGGTGGGGGGGACATGAAAAAAATAATGTTCTTGAAATTCCGTTCAAAGATGCCTCTCGAGGAGTTAAACTTGTGAGGGCGGTGATTGAGGGTGCGGCGCCGCTACCGACTGAGCCACGCGGGCAAAGAGAAAGCGCCCGCCCGATTGCATACATAAAGGCGAGGACGACAGCTGTACGCAGAGTGACATTAAGCGTTGTACACCGTTACGGTAGAATGCATACTCTAGCTACAAAAAAACTACGAAAAATCTCCTGTCCCTCCACCTTTAATCAGATTTGTTTTTCAGGAAACTCAAAGATGCACGAATCTTGTCCCATTAAACCTTCAACATGAGACCACCAAGGATACCGTAATCAATGGGTATCATATCCCTAGAGGAACTGGAGTTGTCGCTCAAATTAGCACTATTATGAATGACGAGAAAACATTCCCACATCATGAATCTTTCAAGCCAGAGAGATTTATAGATAAGAATGGAAAATTGAAAAAGGTAGAACAACTTGTTCCATTCTCGGTTGGAAAACGACAATGTCTGGGAGAAGGACTCGCTAGAATGGAACTATTCCTTTTTATTGCCAACTTTTTGAATCGATATGAGGTAAATAATTAGAATGGGATGGTGAATTCGAAAATTAAAATTTTCAGTTATCCCCATCCAAGCAAGGGCTACCGTCATTGGAGAAGAAGTGTGCAACTATGGTCGAGCCAAGAATATTCTCTGGAATTTTGAAAAAGAGAAGATAGATTATTGGTTTTGCATAAATTGTACATATTTATTGTTTTTGAATAAATTGGGAATTCGTCAAATAATCCTTAGTCAGCTCCGTCCAAAGAGCATCATTTATACTCGGTCATACTCCTAATCTCGTCAATCAAGATTCCCAGATTACGCTGGTGGTCTTCAATTTCCTCCTTATAGTCGATTGTCTCTTCTGTTTTTCCTATGACTCGTACAAAATTGAAGAATAATTCTGGAGAGTAGACGTCAATGGAGCGATTCAGAAGACCCTGAAAGTATGAGCTTCATATTGTATAGAAAAGCCGAACTCACATCGATCGGACCCAATTGCTCTTCCTCAATTCTATATCCAGGTAAATTAAGGATTGTCTCTGTGAGAAAAGAAATAACCGTTCCTGTGTTTGCTGCCCATTTTATCATCCCTTCCTGAAATTGTATTGTTTTCAACTGATGGAAAAGTTCCTAACTTACAACAAGCACTGATTCATTGTTTTCTTGTTTGAACTGCAAATTAGAAAACTTAGTTTGTAAATAAAACTATTCGGAGACCTACATTTTTCAAAATTCCAGCCAACGTGTCTTGAAGATCACCAAGAGCTCCCAACAAATTTTGGAATATTTCCAGCTTGATGGCTTTAGGGACTAGGCCAATGACGCAATCTAGTTGGAGTTTGATTCCATTAAGTTTCCTACAGACTTTGTTGGAGAGAAGAATTCTGAAATATTATTCATGGCCTTTTAAAGGGGGACTCCGACCAAAAAATTTTTTGCATTAAAATGTGTTAAAACTTATCTATTTTTCAAATATTATTGCGAAAAAATTCAAAGAAAATCCGAAATCCCCGAAAAACGCCGTGGAAAAGGAAGAAAATTCAAAAAAAGGTGCCGCCAGGGGACGAGGATTTTCAGTGAGAAACCTAGGCCACGGCACCTGACAGCCTTTTTTCAAGTCGCCGACAGTGGTTTTTT